TCACCGCCCCCGGCGGACGCGCGCGCGAAGGCAGGAGCCACAGGAGCCGAAGCTCCAACTCCCGATGTCCACGCACGCGTCCGCCCATACACGCAGGCCTCGCCTGCCGGAGAGCGAGGAGACGCCTACGGGCGGGGGCCGCCCCGCCCCGCCGACGCCATCGGGCTCTCATTCCGCAAGACGACGGTCTCGCAGAAGGACACCGCCCTCCATGACCTCCCGCTCCCCACCATGGCCGCAACCACGGCCGGGAGCGAGAGGTCTCCCCCTATCTCTAAACGGAGTGCCCGCCTCTCCCTGGCAAAGGCCGGGCACTCCTCCAGCACGTGCTGCGCGGAGTCAACCTCCGCGCCGCACTGGTGGCACTCTGCCGTCGCCTCGGCTCCAACCTTCTGCAGGTACCCCCCGAAGCATCCGTGCCCAGTGAGCACCTGCATGAGCCGGTAGGATAGCCTGCCGTGCCAACGGTCCAGCCATTCATCAAGGACGGACAGGACCGCGCACACGGCTCGCTGCCGGGCGGCGCCGCTGTCATACAGTTGGCGCCGCCACTTTTCACGAGCGAGCCGCCGGCACTAGCGGTTCATCACCTCGACCGCGTCGTCCGGCGGGTCGACCCCGTTCCGGCGGAGGCCCTGCAGACACCGATACAGATCGGCGTCAGCCTCCGCCTGGAAATCAAAGGGCACGACCCCTACCAGGACGGCCGCCGCCTCGTGGGAGATGGTGCGGTACCCCCTCGCGATCCCGATGGCCATGCAGCGCTGAATGCGCCGCAGTAGCTGCCGGCCCCGCCGGCGGGCCATCAGATCGCGGGCCCACACGGGTGACCCGTATAGAGCCATCGCCCGCACCACCCCCATGTAGAGGCGGCGTACCCTCTCCTCCGACCCCCCGAGATTGGGTATCAGACGACCCAACAGGGTCGCCACGCCCTCAATCCGGGCGACCAGACGGTCGAAGTGTCCCCGGCTTCAATACCTAACCCAACCTACCATATCAACCTCTCAGTCTCCCACTATGTACCACCGGCCTCCCAGCTACCCAGTCTCCCTCTACCGGTCTCTCGGTTTCCCGCAAATCCTTCAAATATTTAGATTATTATAATCCCCCAACTGTGAGAACTAGTGCAATACCCCAAGTAAGTTTTATTTGTTTGTATTTATATTAACTTTACATATCCTTTGTTTGTGTGTAGCACATTTATTTAATAGAATCTATCACCTTTTTGAAAATTTTGTTTTACATATGTTTTTGTTTATAAATTTCATACATTTATTAATAATGCCACGGTGTTGCTGTATTCCCAATTGTAAGGGAAATTATGATAGTACTTTAAAAGATTATAATTACATATCTATATTTTTCTTCCCCAAAGATGAGGAATTGCGGCAAAAATAGATGGCTGCTATTCCTCGTAAAAACTGGACACCAACAAAATATTCTACCGTTTGCAGTCTGCATATTGCAGAAAGTGCTATTCAAAGGTACCAAGGTATTCTATCATCCAATGGTGTACTAGAGAATGTTTTGTTGAGATGTCCAAGACTTATAGCGAATGCAGTACCATCCATTTTCCTCAATTTCCCTTCTTACTTTGTAAAACATGTGCTACCACGAAGAAAAGATCCTGTAGAGCGAGATCAAGAAATCATTGAAAGGAATGAAAATTTAGTCCAAGAATTCACTAATTCAGATTTAATTAGTAATTTCTCGGATTTAATAAATAATTATGAAAAAAAGCTTGTACTTTCAAACTGTTGAACTACTAAAACAAATTCAAAAATTTATTTTTGTATGCTCGTATATAATGATAATTCTGACTTTTTGATTCTAAATACACAGATTGTGATTAGTGACAACATTAAATTACAAGTTTTTCAAGAAAGCAATGAAGTTTCATTCAATAATTTAAAGTGGGTACTGCTTATTGATAAGAAATTATCTAGGTGGTCTCAACTTGAAAATTTATTAAGTAGATATAAAGTATTACAGAGTCCACATTCTACCACTAATATATGTCTTATTGAAAAATATCTTGAGAAATCTCTAGAAAAACTTAATAAGGCATATATTATTGCAGAATCAATTTTGAATTTGCTTATACCAAAAATCTTGAAATAGTAACAGATCAAATAACGCAAATAAAAAATAGAAAAAATAGATATAGCTCTTGCACCATTATTACGGCTTTTTTGTTATATAGCCAATCGTCAGCTGCATACAATTACTTGTCCAATTATGTTGTAGATGATTCCATTAAAATTTACATATCTGGTTATGGGTCCCATTCTGTAAAATTAAAGTGCAATAGATGTCGATTATTAACTATAGAGGATAAAGGTAAAACTGTAGGCGATGTATATTTTGATCACTTACAAAGAGGGGGCTTTTCTGTTCGCACTGAAGAAGTGATAACCTCATTTATTCATATGTATGCAATAATGGAAGCCATAATAAATTATGGCAATTTGGAATCTCAATTTTTGCAATCTGAAAATCATAAACATATGTTATGTAAATTAACATATATTAGTATTCAATCAGATATACATTATTTAGCATTTTCAGATACATGCATTTGTGGTTAAAGTTACGACAGTATTTTGTTTAAATTATTGTCAATGTTTTCGAATATTTTATTAAATGATTATGTGGAAATTGTAAATAATAACTGTTCTGTAACACGAGTTCATAATTATCTGCATAATTGTTCCTTTCAATAGCGAATTATCCTAACCTCTTTTCCATATGTCACTGAACCTGTTTGGCATCGTACAAATAATTTTGTCTATTTCAGGTTTCTATTAACTTATACATACCTTTATCAATTTTTAAATGCTTCAATTTGGTTCAAAGATGGTTTTATCATGCTTCACATTTATATTTTCTTAAAACCACTGTAAATATTTCAAATATAATGCATCGCAATATCAAACTATTCAGTGTTCACAAAATGTATACCACATTTATAAATATTAGTATACATCTATATTACTTCTACTTACTTATGATATTTATGTATTCCTTATGCGTAATTTATCAAAAATACTGTGTATTAGTATGGTTTTATGTAAAAAATAACGTTAATTATAACATTGAGCACAAAACTCTTGTTCTTGAAAATAGGACTCCCGAATCGGCCATGAGCGGTGTTGCCACGTTGTTCAGCACGGCTAGTACTAAAGTCGGTTGTGACGAGCCGTAATTACCGACTGTTACGTTTGTCCCACTGTCAGAATGTCTAGGAGAATTCGGTTTTCATGTTGGCAGTAATATGTTTACGGCTTACATTGAATAAAATAGTGATTTGTTTGCGGCGTTTTTGTGCAAGCCTGAGGAAAGAATTAGATGGGCGTGTAGAAAAGAAAATATTAATTTCTATATTATTGTAAAATGGAAGTGAGTACCGAGCAAGTCCCCACGACTACGGAAACCGTTTCTAATAATGAACAGGAGCACAATGAGGAGGGTATGGAAGAAAGTGAGGATTATGGTTACGATGGAGAAGATTATAGGCATTTCGTACCTCGGGGACGAGGTGGCTTTAGGTGCGTTACAGTTTTTCCTAACACCCCATATATCCGTCGAGTTACGCGTCGTCGACAATAAAAAACCCAAAAGTAAGGTTAAGTTGTCCCAATCCCACCTCACCTCTTAATACATCTAACGACAACGATCTAACTTCCTGTTCCCACGTACTTTACACATTAATAAATAATATAGAAATATGTCTATTCTTTCTACTTACGTTCCTATACAATGAAATGATTTGCCCACAACTGTTCAATATAGTGTTCCATTAATATTATTTGTATATATATATATATATATATATTTTGTGTTACAAATTTATTTGTTCATTTTAAGAAAATTGTTTTCTACACTTTGGAACAGTAAATGAAACAAGGTAATAATGCTATTTAAAATATAATTTTCAAAATTAACAATTAGTTTGCATGTACCATCATTGTTTACATACAGGTTTTTCACTTAAGCATAACATTAGAGTTAGAAAGAAGATGATGTTTACACTTGGGTAAATGATTTAGATGTATAGTACGTAAAGTACATAGCCACGACAAATAACAATAATTTAAGGGGTCGTAGCAGAGGTGGGTTTGATTTTCCCATGAGAGGTGGGCCTCCAAGGTTTAGAGGAAGAGGATTTGGACCTAGAGGACCAATGTTTCGTGGAACGAATAATGGATTTCCATTTGAGGGACCGCCTAGGCCTAACTGTCCACCAGGACCAGCTGGGCCACGCTTTAGGGGACCTCCACCATTTGATCCGAGCTGGGGACCTATGGGGCCACCAAATCTGATGGGACCGCCAAATTTAATGGGACCTCCAGGAATGGTAATTATTTTTCATGTTTTAAGTGGTCCATTCATCTCTCCCATAACTTGATTAAGTATTACTTAACTTTATATGCAATCAGCCACCACCACACATGATGAATGGCCCAATTGGGACAGGTCCGGGACCATACGGACCACCTCCTGGAATGGGACCACCAAATATGAATAACGTAAATTTCGATTTACAGAAAATTAGTAGGCATCACAAGTATTAAGATGCAAAACACGAAATGTTGTTATAGATTCCAGGTCAGCAGCAGCCCCCGCAGCAACAGGCACAACAGCAAGCAAACATTCCAGGCTTAGATCTCAATGGAGAAGTATGGGTGGAAACAAAAACACCAGATGGCAAGTCATATTATTATAATATTCGTACGAGAGAAACTACATGGACCAAACCAGAGGGACCAAATGTTAAGGTCATGGTACAAGACCAGGTTTGTAAAATTATTTTTAATCTTAAACTTGCAACTTCAATATCCTTATAAATGTAATAATCTTTTCCAGTTAGAACAGTTGGTACATGGAGCATCTAAACAGACAGCTCCATCTAACACTCCTATGTCTACACCTAGTACTCCAAGCCAGATTAGTGAGAATAGAATTTCTCACAATAATGAGCCATCGTCTACAAATAATGCAGATGCTATGAACCAGCTTAGTACAGCTCCACCTGGTACAGGTCCCCCCCCTACACTTGGTGAAACACCAGATATTTCCACACAACCACCTGATACAACACAGACAAACGGTATTATACAATCACTTTCATTTCTATTTAGGAAATTAAAGTTAATAAATTGTAAATGTTATAAAAGTAAATTTCATATTGTTAATATCTAGGTACAGCACCTGCAACTGTCACTAGTACTCCAGCTATGAATACACCAGCAGTAAATACAAATATGATGCAACCACCTCCTAATATGATATCTATGCAACATAGGATGCCAAATCAATTTGGTGGTCCAATTGCAACACAATTTGGAGCCGCACCTTTTGGGATGCCACCACCAGGTTTCCAGCCTTTTGGAGGTTATGGTCCACCACAAGCAAATTGGGGTAACATAAGTTATACATAAATTATTTAAAAAATAATGATATATAATTTATTGAATGTTTTATGATAATATATTAGGTATGCCACAAATGCCACATGGAGTAATGACTCCACAAACACCAGCAGAGGACCCTGCCATATTAGCACAACTTGATCAAGAATTAGTAGCATCTGCTATGGTTTGGACGGAACATCGTGCTCCAGATGGAAGATTATATTACTATAACAGTAAAGCTGGTGAATCTGTTTGGGAAAAACCGCAGCCTCTAAAAGATCTCGAAAGTATGTTATCTATAAAACAAATTTCTAAATGAAGTATAGAATGTAACAGTAAATATCATTGAATGTATCACTAGGTGCAAAGTTAGCATTGCGACAAAAAGCAGAAGAAGCAGCAGCCAATTCTACAAATACTGCTGTCACTAGTTCTGCAGTGGCTAATAACAGTGTTATCATAGAACCCACAAAACCAGAAAAACAGCAGGAAAGTAATCACGAAACCAAAGATAATGTAAAGGAAACAGATACCAACAAACCTAAAAAAGAGGAAGCAACACCCAAGGAGACTGCTAAACCTCAAGATAAATCTAGACCAATTTCTAGTACTCCAGTGCCTGGAACCCCATGGTATGCCTCTAAACAGATTTGGTTTAACATATTTGCGTCATTTATATAAAAGACAAGTTAAAACTTTTGGTTATTAGGTGTGTTGTGTGGACGGGCGATGGACGTGTATTTTTCTACAATCCTTCTTCACGTATTTCGGTATGGGAAAGACCTGACGATCTTATTGGTCGTCAGGATGTTGACAAAATGGTGTCTACTCCACCGGATACAGTGGTACCTACTAAAACTCCGCGTCAGTCGGACACAAGCGAGAGTAGTGATGATGACCAGCCAACACCAGCGAAGAAAATAAAACAGGAGGAAACTAAAGGTAAATTTTACTTTCGATGTATATATGATGTATATGTATCAAATTAAGAAACTTGCAGTTAATTATTGTTTCTACCTTAGTTGCAACACCAAAAGAAGATGAAGAAAAGGACAGTAAGAAAACAATTGACATCGGTAAAGAGGCTGCAATAGAAGCGGAAGTACGAGCTGCTAGAGAAAGGGCAATTGTTCCTCTGGAAACACGGATTAAATCATTTAAAGACATGCTTGCAGAGAAAGACGTAAAATTGCTAACATTTTAATGTAATCAGACAAATGAATATAGTACTATATAAACTGATTGATGATATTTACAGGTGTCCGCGTTTAGTACATGGGAGAAAGAGCTTCATAAAATAGTGTTCGATCCTCGTTACCTGCTTTTGACGTCGAAGGAGAGGAAGCAAGTGTTCGAGAAGTATGTAAAGGAGAGAGCTGAGGAAGAAAGGCGGGAAAAGAGGAACAAAATGAAGGAACGGAAGGAACAATTCCAAAAACTGCTAGAAGAAGCTGGTCTTCATGGAAAGTATGTAAACATTATATAATTTGTAAAAAAAAACTCTGAACCCATTAGTACATTTGTTAATTCATTATAAAATAAATTAATATTCCCTACATAGGTCATCCTTTAGTGATTTTGCTCAAAAACATGGGCGTGATGAACGATTTAAGAATGTAGAAAAGATGCGTGAACGGGAGAGCCTTTTCAACGAATATCTACTGGAAGTGCGAAAAAAGGAAAAAGAGGAAAAAACGGCAAAACGAGAACAGGTATTTTTATTTTATTAACACTTCTGATTTCGTTGCAACGCAAACATTACATTTCAGGGTTCAAGCTACAATATAAGAGTCGAAAGATTTTATGAGTAATTCAGACATTCGATGTCATAAGTAAGAAGAGATTCTAAAATTACATTATCTCATTCACGTGACAAAAAGCATACCAAATTTTTCAAGACACTCGAGAATTGAGGTAGCTTCTTTAATAATTATTGACTATACGGTATTCTTATAACAGTATTTGATAAAAAGTACTCATAATGTTGTGGGTATCATATATGAATCATTCTGATAGTTCCATTTTATTACATAATAGTTCTATTATCATTGGGTACCTCAATTCTCTAAGAGTATCGAAGTATTAGAAACATAAGTTCTTTTTGGATACAACCTTTAAGCCTTTTCCTTTTCCATACCAAACCTCATTAAGGTTCTCATTCATGCATCCCTCATTTCATTTAAAAAATCATATAGTACATTACCGAAAGTATATCAAATGAAGTCTAGATATAGCATATACTATATTCGCGGTACGTTAAATAGAGACTGAACAAACCTTTGTTCAGCACATACTTATATGTAAACAACAAATTTAATATTATATAATTGTTCGGTAAAAATAATTATATACTACTGTTGAGTGATATTTTACTATGTGCGTTAACATAAGAGACGAGTAAATAAGTACTCGAAAAATGTTCCAATATCGAATAGGGCAGAATAATGCTTAATACATTTATATTTTCAGCGATAATTAATGATTTTTTCAGGTTCTATAGGTATGTTACTATTTTGTTCCACTTGTAAGATTATCTAATATGAATTCCTAAAATTAACGGCTGAAGAACACATACCAGGAGAAGTTTCTCTAATAATTCTCTACTCCAGTAGATTTTCTCGATAGACAAAAGTTTTGTAGCTGTAAGATGGGAGATGTAGAGAATAAAATCTTAGTATGTGACGGTTCCTTATGTACTTATGTGTTCTGAACTCTCCACTTCAGTCAGGAGGCAGGCAGGACAGGTTCCGTATGTGGAGTGGCTTGGTTCTGAAGCTGGTTGGTGGCATGGATGATGTCATCTACCATCCCCACCTACACTGCGTGGCACAGTTGGCACACCCTCGCGCGCCGCATTCTTTACTCCAAAGCAGAGTCATGAGAATGAACGAACTCGGTATTTGTATATTACTCGTAATCCTCGTTACTTCAAAAGATTAACTTTTCCCCAAAGATCAAAACCAATCTCAAAGAAATTCAATACAATTCACTATCAGTTAAAAGGGATATCATTTCCAGTGGTAGCATCAATTCTAAAATATACAAATCTTATTCCATTTCCTGGAGATAAAGAACCGTTATTTCCCTTGAGAAAAAAGCTACCAATTCATATCATGATAAATGTATCAACATAAGAACAAATTAAATTTTTTTCTTTTATTTTTAATATTAAACATAATTTCATCAATTTTACAACTACATTTTTCTGTACACAATAATAACTTCATTTGTAGTAATATGTAATCTATTATAATAACATTTGCAGAAAGGAGAAGTTCAATTCAAATGCTTAGTTCTTCACTATATGGAAATAATGACATAATTGCTTGGAATTGTTCTTATGTCAATACATAGCATATTCAAATTTACAAGTAAATTTAAAAGTGATATTTATATTTAAAATTTATCGAGTGCATTTTAATTGGTATGATGATGTATATTTATTTTTTCTATTTTCTTTTTTTGCGTTGTCTCGAAAATTACACATATTTTCACACGACAAGAGGTATAATGCTATTTCTAAAGAAGCCTTTAGCAAAAAATGAAAGATGCGTAGTTATAATACAATGAGTGTGCTTTTACGAAATTTGGTTTGTATTCTTCAGAGAACCTTGACTGCTTTCGTCTTAAGAATAATAGAAGTGGACTTTGCAACTAAGTATATTCAGATAAAAGTTAATCAAAATTGTGGCACAAGTTTCTGACTACTTCTAAACTATGTAGGGTCAGGATCCGAGTAATGACTCTAATGACAAATTCAAGACCAAAATGTGCCAGCATCTCTGAACTCTAATTGTATTTTCATTACAAAATGAACATATATTAAGATTAAACAAATACGACAACATGTTATTTTAATTATATTAAAATAATAAGTCGTTCACAAATTACGTAATGGGAACTGAAATGTATGAACTACTTATATTACTTGCTACTTGAATAATGTAGATTAGAGGAACCAGAAACATATGAAATAGTAAGAAAATAGCTAATAACAATAGATATATATATTTCTAACCATAACATAAAATGTTTGGTTGCGTGGTGTTATTTAATAGTTCATTTAAGCAAGTCTGTTAATAGAATGATCCAAAGATCTAGTCAAGTTTAATTTTAAGATTTTCTACTTTTATTTATTAAGAGTTTTATTTACCGCATTCATGTTACTCACTATCATTATAGTACTATTTTATAACAATAATGAAAATATACATATATTTGTATGTACTGGAAAGGTACTGTAGCAAAAGATGGTTAGGAAAACTAAAGCCTCGTTTCGTAATTTGAACGGCTGAAAGCTTTTAATATTTTCAAAATCTCGTGACGATGATACTAACGATTCTTTTCTTTTCAGCGAGGGCAGCAGATAAAAATCTATTCATTTTATGCTTCCGTCTCATCATTAAACAAGAGCACATCTTGTCTTAGCTCTTTTCAATAATGTTATTTCCATTATTTAATCTCACCGCGGTCATATTCCAATGTGCACAATGTTTAATGATGAGATTCGGTTGGAAATAATTATTTTTTGCAGCTATAATGAGTATAATTTTTTTCAGCGAAACTGACCAGCTTATTTCATTAAACATTCCAACAAGTAGAGCCCTTAACGTTGTGATACATTCTGACACGAACGAATGACATGAATGACTATTTCTTCTACCCCTAACGAAAATGTAGTTTGAAAACCATTAAAAAGGTTTGCAAGTTGAAATAGTTTGATCCACATTACAAGTCATTATTTTTTTCTAATAATAATATTGTCAAAGTGATTGTAATGTGGCTGAACGTGTACAAGTCATTGGTTAAGAAAATATTAAGCGTGCATGATATAAACTGAACCAAGCAAAAAGATTAAAAAAATTAATAAGATACAGTTTCAATTTTAAGACAAAAATGTACAAATTAGAGTATAAGCAAAAGCTAATTGTTCTTCAACAATGAAAACTCTTACGATAAATGCATTTCAGGTGAAAAAGGAATTCATAGCGATGCTACGTGAACACAAAGACATCGACAGACATTCGCATTGGAGCGATTGTAAGAAAAAATTGGAATCTGATTGGAGGTACAGAGTGGTAGAGTCTGCAAGCACGCGGGAAGATTGGTTTAGGGATTACATACGTATACTAAAGGAGGAGAGGAAAAAGGAGAAGGAGAAAGACAAAGATCACCGGCATAGAGACAAAGACCACCATAAGTCAGACAAAAAGGATAGGGACAGAAAGGATGTTGAAAAATACAAGGAAAAATCGTCAAAAGATCGGGCCGACAAGGATAGTTCACAGGACAAGAAAAAACGAAGAAGCGAAGTACCGGCAGAAGAGAATGGTAAAGACAAAAAGGAAGCGGTAATAGAGAAAGAAAGCGGTGAAATCGAAGACAATGACGACAAACCAACAAAGAAAGACAATGATGTAAGCAGTTTTTCATATTTCGTTAACCGAAATTAGTTTTATGGTTGATTATATGTAATATTTCTTTACATAGAAAGAAGAGATGGAAGATCAGTCTGATTCCGAAGAAGATCGTGAAAAACAGAAAAGAGAACGTGAAAGAAGAGCAGAAGCAAGCCTTCGAGAAAGAGAGAGGGAAGTCCAAAGAACTCTTGCCACACACCTTCGTGATAGAGATAAAGAAAGGCAACATCACCGTCACACAGAAGCAGTACAACATTTCAGTGCTCTTCTTGCAGATTTAGTATGTATCCTATTTACGTAATTCGTTATATATGATTGAAATTTTTAAGCATACTCACAGAGACACTACTAAATAGACGAGCCTTAGTACGGCCCATCAACATCGTAAATAAGTTGCGAAGTTACTTGTCGGAGCATTCTTTCGAATTGATCCTAATAATCGACATTCTTTATAAGAACGTAATTGAAATTAAAGGTATATTCCCGTCTTTGGATTTGTTAAAAATGGCATAGTATATTCAAGAAGAATGATGAATATTATTATTAAAGGATTATGTCCCTGATTTTATGATTTTTGAAAGAAATAGATTGAATTGCTCACGTGAATTACTCATCAGTATACCCAATATTATTCTTAATGTGCAAAATATTCACAAGAGCGCGTTATGGTAGTGTTACAGCGAACTCTTAACTATATTGCCATCGTCGGGGCTCTAGGGGAGTAAAATGGCAATTAGTTCAGAGCCCCCTCCATGCTAAATTCTATCGTCATGGCCTCGCCCTCAGCGCCTGTGCAACAGCTGGATCATGCTGGTGTGCCGGTGTACGCAACGTGGTGCGAGAGCGAATTTGTTTGCTCGAAAGTACATGTAAAGGGGAAGTGCCTCGCGTGGCAATATAGTTAGAGTCCACTGATCTGCAAAAAAAATCCATGAATCAATCCAGGAAAGGATCCCTACTTTTCCATATATTTTTTTAATACTTTTATATTATAATAGTATAATGTATTAAATATATTAACAATGAAATTAATAGATTCCCAAAGTATAGAACACACCTTTTATGGCATAGGAAATGATCCATATGTTTCTGTACATATTACTGGTGGTCAGTTTCCCACACAACACGACGATGTCATGATTAGCGTCTTACAAATAGGTTTCAAACTAAAACATATAAACAGTGTTACCAGATTTCATTCATCAACGTAATTATCTCTCGACAAAATTCCTTATCAAAAAAAAAGTTTTAAGTAGAACTTACTCTGCTTCGAGGGAGATATCATGAACGCAAGCCTTGTCTACTTAGGTGGAGGTGCCTCCGTCATTTCAAGCAGACCTTGGTTTTTTTTTTTTACGTGACTGTATATTTTCGTTTAACTAGACGTATAGCCCATTCGGAGACGAATGTATTGACCTATGTAGATGTGTTGTTCTTTCAAGGTCATTCAACGTTATTTAAAATCTTGTAAAGATATTGTATTTCGATGAACGTCCAGAAAATGTTCTTTATCTTCTATATTCAAGAGGACGATCTTGGATATCAGTGCGTTGGCTTATTCTGCCCATGAGTAATAGTCTGCCTCCTTGGAAGTACGAATTTCACAATTACAAATCACTACATTATTCGGGTGTCGGCTATCTGGAAATCTTTCACAGTATAACCGTGCAGTTGCAGTGGCCCCATAATTTTGTCGACACTCGCCTGAAACCAAAATCGTATCAACAACTTCGCTAGGCGTACAATCTGCCATCATAAATTGTATCGCTACCGAAACGAAGAACGCTAGATGCTGGTCACAATAGTGACACTGATTCCTTCGAACCAATTACAGTGTAATGCCCTAGCAGCAGATATTCCTGGTTTGTAAACATGAGTACAGATAAAGTGCATCATTTGTGTAAGTTCGCGTCACGTTTAGAATTGTGGCGACAAAGTTCTACGACAGGCAATCTTGTAGCCATTTAGCAACGGAAGATTTTAAACGAGCGTGAATGATCTAAAACGTCCTTGAAAGACCAACATATCTAGGTCATAGAATTCGTCTCAGAATGAGCTACACGCTTAGCTAAACGAAGAATAGTTTTATTTGAAACATGTTTTCAAATCAGGAATAGTTCGGGAGATAATTCCGTTTATACATTAAAATAGGTCACACTTATGAGGATCGCTGTATAAAATGTTATATACTTTGAGTATTAAAATTTTCAGTTGTTAAGATCTAGTTGAATAAATACTTGGACACGTGTCTGCTTTCTTTTCAATATAGACTGGTCGGGTTAAAGCTGGTTATTGTAATACGTATGTTTAGGTAAGGAACGGAGACCTCGCATGGCGAGAAGCAAAACGGCAGTTGAGGAAGGATCATAGATGGGAATTGGCAGAGAGCTTAGACCGCGAGGAAAAAGAGAGATTATTTAACGAACACATAGAACAGCTCAGTCGCAAAAAGAGGGACAAATTTCGAGAACTCCTGGATGAAGTGGGAGCTTCGACTGAACTTACCGCATCATGGAGAGATATTAAAAAATTGTTAAAAGACGATCCTAGATATCTTAAATTTTCTTCTAGTGATCGGGTATGTAATATAGTTAGATATACATAACGATTGAATTGAGTTTCATGGTGGTTATTTTATGTTTATTCGTATTAATCCTTACAGAAATGCGAAAAAGAATTTAAAGAATACATTAAAGACAAACTTGTTGCGGCTAAAGCTGATTTTAGAGAACTTCTGCAGGTATGTTCAAAGTACATTATGATTCTTATTTATAAACACTAAAAATGTGATTGAACTTTTATTAAAATATTAATTTCAGGAAACGAAACTTATTACTGATAAAACATACAAAAAGGTACAAGAAAACAGTGGACATTTAGCGGAAATTGAAGAAATTTTAAGAAAGGATCGACGTTTTCTTGTACTGGAAGCTGCTGCCGCTGAACGAACTCGTTTGTTAATGGGTTATTTAGAAGAATTGGCACGTAGGGGGCCGCCTCCACCACCTACTGCCTCAGAGCCTTCAAGACGACCAACTACAAAGTAATTGTTGTCTTCTATTAACGGAAAAATATATATCAGTACGTGTTTGAATTTGGGAAATCTGTTTTTGTTCTAGTTAACGAGGCCCACATCAAAGCATGGTATACATATGGTGTCCAAATAAGAAATCAGTGATTGAATTTATAGCTGTAGTTGAATTGAAGTACTTTACACACGAGATGATTATCGCCTGTAATTATAGGATTCAATAAAACTAACGCCAATTCCACACAGCTAATAATGTGTGTGTATGTGTGTCATACTGTAAAGATGCCATAGTGTAAGCATATCATTATTTGTTGGATTATGTTAATTAGATACTAATTGGAAAAGAATTTTAGGGATATTATATAGTAATATCATAAAGTACGTATTTTATACATATTTTATCCAGGGTTGTTACATAAGCACCCTATAATGAATATTTTGTATGAAAATTACACGAGAATTGTGACGAGTTAACACTCTCAAATAGTTTAGAAGCAAATGCAGTGAATTTCTATGAAACAACATTAAATTTAATATCTCGGAAATATAATTATTGTGTCTTAAAAAAAGCATAACATACGACAATCGTGCACGATATATTTACGGAGTGCAGTTCAGAAATCATGATTTCAATTGTTTATCCTCGCACAGCTCTATTGGATGGTGAAACGTAAGTATCCTACAAAATATTCTCCTCTAAAACAGTCCAAAAATACATACATGTAAAAAGGTTAATACATTATTTACCATAATTATACATATTATTTATGTGGCATTTTTACGGTATAAGGTTTTTAATCTGATACAAATAAGTACGATAGATCTATTTTATGCAATAAATAATTGTTAAACATTTCAATGAATGATATTCACGTACAGTTCCCAGCAATCTGTAACTATGTGCATTTTATTTCTAATATTTTATAATATTTCATTACAGAAGTAAGCTTCACATAATCAATGAAGAATATACTAGGGTAAATATGATCTCGTAATAAAACACTCGACGATTACAATTTTATTACTGTAATTTATGTATTTTATTTTGTATGATGACGTTTAAATGTTTATTTAATAGGCATACTGTTCTTTTTACTTACGGATATTATTTCCACTAACATGATCGTGTGGTAGTGGTGCCATACGTTTAATGCACTGAACATAATTAAATTTGCGCACGTTGTAACATTATGAGTTAATTTTATTTTCAATAAAAAAATCAGTACATGGTCTTGTTCCAAGCAATAAACTTATTTTATTATGTTGCATATATCATTGGCCTATATTTTATCTGCTAATTTTCATTTCGGCGTGCTTTATCAAGAACTCTAATACATAATGCTGTGTCGTACGGATTTCAAAACACGACAGACAAAGTTCAACGCTCGCATGTGTATCGACACGATAAAGTCGCATTCTATCGTACCATGTCCTGTATAAGTACGTACATAAATACACAAATGCTGCGCAAACTATTTTAATCATTCAAAACAGTTCTTAAGTCAGTAGATAAACAATTTAATTGTAATTTAATATAAATATTGTAAATTCTTTTTGAGATATTTTTTCAAGAAAACTATTGATTCTATAATCTGAGTCAGTCATTTAAATCGATCCTCTCGAATATCTTCGAAACTTGATGATACCGACAAATTTTTCAGATAAACGTTTTCGAGGAAGTAAGAATTTGATGTGAATACATAGTTTTTTTGTAGCTGGGCGCGTAGAAAACATATGAAGGTCTTTGTTCTTTTAAGTGAAATCATAAATTTTTTAATGTATTAGTCCAGTGGTTCCCAAAGTGAGGGTTCGCCGGAAGAGCTACGGGTGGTCGCGAAAGGTTTTACAAAATAAATAAAACAAAAAAGCCACATTAACGTATACTTATTTTGTATTTAGAAAAAAAATAATGTGAATCGCGACTCTCTGTGGGATCGCAAGCAAAAATCTCGTGCAAGAAAGGGTCGTGGTTTTAAAAACTTTGGAAATTTTTACATTAATCGATGCTGTTCATCATTCTCTATAAAAAAATATGAAACTATGCCAAAAAAATTGGTTAGGGGGTATTTTAATTTCAATTTTGCAAAATAGTACTCAATTTCGATGCAGCAATATAGTATGCATAACATTTAATATCTTTCTGCAATTTATGCCGTAACACCATTAGATTAGGAGATACTTTAATTTCAAAATTACGCGTTACATCGCACATCTAATATATTCTGAACATCAACTCTAAGAAAGTAAACACTGAATTGGTAAACACTCTTAAGCTAATGGTTTTTCCGCATGAATAGCTTAATATGTACTTTTTTAATAAGGAATTATCAGCTACATCGCCTAATCCATTAAAAAATGTATAATTCTATGTAATAAAAAATAAATCTGACCTTCATATGTTTTCTTCGCATGCAACTACAAGAAACTACTCATATCAAATTACAATTTCAACCCCAAAATCGTTCAAATTTTGTTTGAAACATTTTTCGATATCATCAACGGTTTCAAAGACCTTCGAGGGAACCGATTTATATAACTCACCTTGTATAATTCTGCGAAGAAAATTTTTATCCCGTGAAGTTAATATTATACTACTATCTGCTTTAAAATTACTATTACAATAATACTTCTGTTTTTTCCTTTAGATTTTCATTTTAGATGTTTAACAAATGAGACGCCTTTATCTTATTACAAACGAACTGTTACCCACTTAATTGTAAGTTTTAATATTATTTTGAAATGTTATTAAATTTCATGGGAAAAATATTGAATATTTCGCAAATGTATTCAGAAGAATTTTCTGAATGAAGTAACTGCAGACTCACTGAATGTGGTATCAAGATCTCTACACTTGTATGGGTGACTAAAAGGTACCTCGAGATCTGGAAACATTATTCCTATGAGTTCGTATCGTTGTCACGAAACGAAATACCGTACACGAATCTATATTGTATATCTTTGTCGTTACCGTTAGAATCGAGTCCGGTATGCTGCACTTCCTGCTAACTCGGTAAGAATACAAATTGGCAAGTTAACGCGATGGCTAGATTAAATAGTAACCGAATCTTATGTCCAGCCTCTTACATAACCCGAAACTGAATACATATATAGATGTTAATTTCTTATTTTTTTTTTTAAATCCATTAAAATCTGAACTAACTTGACCCATTTCTTTGTCAGAAAAGATGCAATACAGTAGAAGCGCGTATAATGCGAATAAAAATTACACTATTGCCACCATATAACACGATTAATAAATTAATAGTTATTCTGTACATATAATAAAAAAACTTTAACTTTTTATTGATCCAAATAAATGAAATGAAATGTATATTAGTCTCTGTTATATTAGAAAAAACTTTTTTAGTTAGTTTTAATTTTTTGCGCTCTGGGTCCCGTATAACACAGAACATATTTTCTATTTCTCAAAATATTGTAAGACAATTAATATTCAGATGCCCATTACACAATAATTTACCAACTCATAATATTAGCAAATTCAGGCTTGGCGCACAGAAGCGGCACGCGACTGTTCGCAGTCGCGTCGATTTAACGCCGCGTTTTAGCAGTACATACATACATTCATTTATATTTTATATGAAGTAATTCACACGTGACGTAGGTTTCAGCGGCAAATTTGCATCCCGTTTGCGTCAATTCTGCAGCTGCGGCAGTATTGATACGAACAATCAAATAATCTTAAGAATTACTCAATTTTAGTTATCTTTTTGATTACTTAAAAGAGCATTTAACACTATATTTTTCAATTTAAGGGAAGATGAAGTCAAATTTTATAAGTATTTAGGCTCGCTATTCCACCTCCATCACTTGAAATGATTGCAGTTACATTGAAGTAAGTACAATTTTTATTTTCTTAAAGTATGGTCAGAAACAGTATATAAACTAAATTTTTTAAATAATAGAAGGTTAAAGAACGTAAAATAAATGAAGGAATTAATAATAATTAACAAAAAAGTTGTCAGGATATATGAAACAGAAATAAAATAAAAGAAATAGTAACGAAATCAAATAATAAACAGTTTTTCTAATTTTTTGGATAACAATTAAAACTTCTATTTTTAATTAAATTTTTTTATCTATACTAGAAATCTTTATAACTGGAAGTAGTGATTGTAAAAATAATAAATCTTCATTCGGTTTTTATGATGTTTCTGGTGTTATCATAAATTTAATCATCATGTCTTCTAAAATTCGTTTTCGTTTTGATGCTAAGGCAACGTTGTAGAACGTGGCTGGCGTTCAAGGGTTATTTGTTGAATTAGGTGAAGAAATAGAATCTTCTTCCGGCGATACTACTAATTCTTGCGATGTTGTATTTCTTTCTTCCTCCTCTTCTTCAATACTGTTTATGCTATATGTAGTAGCCATTGAGCAGCGAGTGCTATTTTAAAAAAGATAACTGTTGCGCAAACACATACTTCCGAAATTATGCGGCACTTCCAGAGTTTTGTTGTTTCTTTTTACTTTTTCAGAAGCGATCTTTTAAATTCTTCTATTTTTTAATTAATTTTAATCCAAAAAGAAAAATAATTTGTAGATATGTTTATATGTAATTTGGAAGTGGATGTAATCTCATTGATTTGCACTATTCGTGCAGAATTGGCCACTTAACATTGTCAAAAATTATACAAATAAAGATCTGTTCATCAATGTGGTCTGTTATGAAGCAAGAATGTATACCTCAGTTTAACCGTCCGAGCACGGTCCCTGGGTCACGCGTTCGCGAGAGCGACATGCAACAGTGACAGAGTCAGGAGTGGGGACACGCGGCCTCGAGAGCGACGCGTACGCAGTGACGGAGCTGTCGTGTAAATCGCATAGCGACCGATGTTTATTTCCATGCGAACGACCGAGCCAAGACACCGCAGAAGTATTGACTAATAAATATAATCTATTTTATAATTCACGAGATTTTTATTCTAGTTAGTGTAATAAGAACTATGAAAATCCAAATGTAATGTGGAACCAGCTAATCATTACATTGTACACATGGTGACGGTGGCTCAAGCTCGAGCTCGAGCTCAAGCAACCGCCACTGTGTAGTAATGTCAGTGAGGGTCTCGAGCTCGAGCCTCGCCGTCGCTGTGTAGTAGTAGAATATCGGTGTGGGGTCAGAAATGACATAGGGATCGGTGACCATGTTTCCGTGCTCGGAGGGTTAATCAAGTTATGTGCTGGAGGATTTGAACAACATGCTAATTTCCCAAATTGTTTGGGCGCTCTTGATGACAAACATCTTA